CCTATTAATGTGGCCAGCAAAATTTTGAGTATTTTGTGATATTTGCCAAAATTATATCAACCGTTATTATTTTTTTTAACTTTTTTTTGCTTTTATTATTCTGAGATATGTCTATTTTTGAATGCCAGTTGAATTTTTAACTTATTTGAAAAAATATAGACGTTATCACCATTTTTTCACAAAAAATATTTCACACCTATTAATTTGACCATATGTGTATATACATATATATACACATATGTAATGCGGCAGCCAATGACCAAGCACTAATACAAATGCATCTCTCTCTCTCTCTCTCTCATACATTTGCAGGAGGCTTCTCCATTGAGCGCACATCAGCAACATCAACAGCAGCAACAACAACAGCAGCAACAACAGCAGCAGCAACAGCGACCCACTGCTTCATCGCTGGCCTCACCCAGCGGCCAGTCACCGTTCGCCGGCGTCTCATCCACCACCAGCGGCAGCGGCATTGATCTACTGCCCAGCGGCATGTCGCACGTCTCCGCCGACAACGGCGGCGGCGGCGTCGGCGGCGTCGGCGGCGGTCCGCCCAATGCCAATCTGAACAACTACTACGAAAGTTTGCGCAACAATGTCATCACACTGCTGGAGCATGTGCGTCTGCCGCCACCGCCGCCGCCGCCGTCGTCGTCAGCGCTGCCACCGGGCGCGGCGCCCGGCTCCGGCATGGACAATGGCTGTGCCGCCGCCATTGGCGTGCAGCTGAGCGCCGAGCATCATCATACTTCAGCCGCGGCTGCCGCTGCATATTCGACGCTGCTGCCGCCTCCACCGCCGCCGCCGCCACTGCCGCTGCCGCCAACATCGGCGTCGTCGGCGTCGGCGAGCAGCACTGCAGCGGGCACGGCCATGTATGGACATCAGGGAAGCGGCGCAGCCGTTGCACCGCCGCCACCGCCGCCGCCTCCACACCATGCCTATACGGTGCACCACCCGGGCGGCTATCCGCACGGACATCCGCATGCGCATCCGCATCCGCACGAGCATTTCGACTCGTACATCTCGAAGCTGCAGTCGCTGTGCGTACCGCCCGACGTCTACGCCCTGCCCGATGACGGTGGACGGCCCGTCTACAACTCCGTAAAGCCGAGCATGCACCAGGACTACGGCAAGCTGATGCCCACGCCCATTTAAGGCGTATTGCGAGCTGCGTGCGTGTGTACATAATACCATAAGTAAATTGCACTGATCATGAATCATTGTGATTCATAATTGATTCACTTTACACAGCAAATGAGTTATTCAGTTTGAATGCACATGGATCATGATTGATTCATGTGAGGTGAGTCGTGAATCACATTTGTCAAATATGGACTACAAATCAATTTTGTTCATCAAATTACTTCCTGCTTGAGTTCAGCCGAGGGAATGCAGTATTCAATAAATAATGAATCGATTGAGTTGTGCATTAGAAACACAGAATTTTTATTTTGCATTGGAATCATCAGCTTCAGAAGCTATCAGTCTTGAATGATGTACTTGGCATCAGCCAGAACATTGTGAATTGTTAATCAAAATTAATATAATGCAACTTGAGTGCAATGAATCATTACCCATGAATCATGAGAAGTGAATCAATAATCATGAATTACAAGCTAGGAGCCATGAGAGCCATAATCTAGGAGTAATGAGCCACGAGTTACATACCTTGTAGCCCCTTGTAACTCAAACTCATGCAAAGCATCAGCAATTTCGGACTGATGTATCACGAATCAAAGGCTATGAATCAGAAAATTCGATACTGCCTCTTGAAAATCTATAATCATTTTTTTTTTTTTTTGTAATTTACGATGCAATTGTTCACTTGAATCTTTACTAGCATACAGAAAGCATGATTATATTCAATCGAATCCAAGGATTTCGGATTGAATCTGTGTAAGCCGATAAGATAAGATACATTCTAGATATAGATAACGTATAGAGGTGTGCAGGAGACGTGCTGGAGAGGTTAAGTATAGCGTAGATTGAGCTGTTCCACGTTTATGTCCTAGGCGCTTCATCGTGTTGATAAATTGTATAAATATGCTAGCAAAACTAAAATCTAAACTATAACTAAATCTAAATATAAATGTGTTGTATTTTTTTTTTATTAGTAACCGTATCTGTATCTGTATCAAATACTAACTAGCAGTTAAATATAGTAGAAGTACATTTTTTTTTTTTTTTTTTTTTTTTTTTTTGGTGTTTAATGTCTGGTCAATTTTGTATTAAAAAAAAAAAAGCATGAAGAAGAAAATGAAATATAAAGTAAAAAAAAAAATAAAATAAAATAAAACAATACCAAAATTATTAAATTTAGTTAGTTGTACGAAAAGGTCAAACACCAAAAAAACAAAAAAAAGCTAATTATGTATATGTATATATACATATATATGTATATGACATGCAAATATAATCAACAGTAAACTAAACGTGTTTTTTTTTATAATCTTAAATTCTAGAACTTATATACAAATATATATATTTAATATAATCAACTATAAATACTAAGTACTGAAAAGTATGCACAGAAAACACACACACATGCACACACTTGCACACATACACACACAAACACTTCCACAACTACGCTACATAGACAACTATATATATATATAGTATATATATACATAAGTTTTAATGTTTAAAAATAAAAAAAAACAAATCTTAAAAAAAAAAAAAACAAAAAACAAAATGTATTCGATATCAAAGCAAGCAAAATTTATTACCAAAAAAAAAAATAAGTTAAAGCAAAAAAAACTAAATAAATAAATAAACTTCAGTGCAATAAATAAAGAAAAGAAATGGAAAATGTTTAAAATTAAGTAAAAGTAGTTGACATTTTTTTTTTGTATTGTATTACGTACTTCTAAATATACATATGTATAACTAAATATAAAAAATAATAATTATATAACAAAAAATACCATAAAGATACCAAAAAACAAGAACAAAAAGCGTAAGGAAATTTAGACGAATTTTAAACCAAAAAAAAAAAAAAGGAAAACAAAAACAAAAAATAAATAGCAGGCTTAAAAAAATCATTGTATTTAAAACAAAAATACCAAACACAATATAAAAAGTAACTAAAAAACTATAAATATACGATTATAAATAAATATATATAATATATATGATATATGTATATCATACATATTATATATACATATATATGATAATTATACATATATGTAATATGTATTGTATAACAAGAATTCTGTAATTTATAAAATATTTTATGTGATCATTGTCATTTTTTTTTTAAATATAATATTACAAGAAATAAATAATTCAAATACAAATAAAGGATATATAAATATATCTGTATGTTTTTGCCATTAGGCGTTGTTTGGGAGTTGAGATTAACTAGTGAAAAACTATTCATATTTCCTTTTTGCCACGCCTCTGAATAAATAGTAGAGTTTGAATGTTAAACTCTGATTTTTTAGCTCTAAAACTGTAAAAGATACAGTTTTGCCCGATGGTCGTAGATGTATATATCCGCCATATTTGATCGAATTTGGACTGTCTCTTGTCTCTAGCCTCAATGGTTTGCATTTATAAATTAATTACATATAAAAATAATAAAAAAAATAAATAAAAAACAAAACAAACAAACGAGAAGTCCACCAAATTCTTATAATTGCCACAACCAACATTGACTTGATCAGAGTTCGTACCCCAGACACACAGCTCGGCTCTAAGCATTTCAGTCTGCGCCTTAACCCACGCCGCCATTGCCACTCCTGCTTGAGCGGCGACAAATGCCAATCTAAAGAAGCAGCAGGTAAAGCAAACATTGCAATGGTGAGTCCATTTCGAGCAGCCAGCCAATCAGCATGCACACAGCTGAATGCATGATCGCAATAACTGTTCTCTTTATACATGTGTAGATTGCCAATGGGCAAGCGAGCTTTTTTGAAAGCGAACGATAGAGGGCGCTAGAGCGATTTTGTCGTTTAACGAGAAACTTTTGCTATCGTAACTTTTGTGTTTCTCAACGGATATCAATGAAATTTTCAACAGCGAATCTTGAATATGAGTGAATTCTCCAATTTAATTTATAATAAAATTAAATTAAAAGGCATGCAAAATGTGCTCGAATAGCTTAAGATCGAAAATACATGTGTAGATTGCTTAAGATCGAAAAATTTTTAAATGGATGGCAAGGATGTTGAGCTGCGCTTGATATAAGGACGCATGCATATTGAACTGTAGCAAGATCGAATCATTTATATAGAAGGAGAGCACTTTAGGCATTTATAGTGACTCAGCTTGCCAAGAATTGGCATATTATTTAAAGGCAATTTTTATTGCATTAGCCCAAATCACATAAATCACAAGTAAAAGAGGAAGAAGAAGAAGCAGAGGCAAGGGAGCAACAATCAAAAATGAAAACTGAGACAGTTTTCGAGAAAACATTTTCATTTTCATTAATATTTGTTGCTTTTTGTTTTTTTTTTTTTTTTGCTCTTTTTTGGCAACGTTTTTAATTTCAATTAGCACGGCGACAATAAACCGGAAGCTGCAAGGGAAGATTGGTCAAGCTAACAAGGGCCGGGGCTGGGGTCAGCTGGGAGGTAAAAAAAAAGGGGAAAATGGCTTTTGCCTTTGCTTGGAAGCCACTTGATTTATGTGGCTTCATTAGACATTCCGCACATAGCCAAAACTAGAATGAGAGTGAGAGAGAGAGAGAGATAGAGAGACGCCAAAGTGAGCTAAGTGATTGCCAAAAAAAAAAAAAAAAAAAGAACTAAATGCGTACAATTAGAACGGCTAACAGTCAAACGCATTACTTTGTCAGGCCCAGCGGCAAGGGAAACGGCATGACTCTCGTATAGCGGAGTAGTTTTAATACCCAGTACCCTTGAACAGGGTATATACGCTTTGTGACAGCCAGCAGGAGCTGGAATATATATATTGCCGATCAGCAGGACAAGATGAGCCCATTCATCTGTCCCGCTCTATACTCGTAACTCCCCTTCCTTTAGTCCGTTTCTTTCTCAGTCTGGTTCTTTATCTATTTTGGTGTTCATTCTTCCTTCTTTCCGTCCCTTCATGACTATTCGCCTCTCCTTCTGCTCATCATTCTGTCTATGCCTTTGTCCGCACTTCTGTCTCTCCGTTCAAGCACCCATCCGAGGTTCCATTCGTCCGTCCTCTCTCCTTATACGCCTATTGAAACTCATCGATCTCATAATCAAATTAGATTGGATGATTCCTTTTCTTTCGTTTTGAATATCTCCCGTACGAAGAGGGGTATCTCATAGTCGGGCATACCCAAGTAGAGCACTTTTACTTTGCCGTTAGTTTGAATATTGACCAGCATGGAATATTTTTGGTTGCCATCAAAACATGTTGGCGAAAAGGACCGCAAACAACTGCCAATGTGTGCGAGTGTATGCATGTGTGTATGTGTGTGTGTGTATGCGTGGTCTATAAAAAGGTTCGCTGTTTGTTCGTGTGAGCCGCAAAAATATTTGCATAGTTACCTTTAATGTGGTTCGACAACGTTTTAGACATCAAATTTGTGGGCGTATGGGCGTGCCAAACGGGGCGTCACGGTGCAGCAAGGTGAGCCGTTCAAGGGGGGGCGTGGCAATGGGGCAATGGGGGGGCAAAGGGGCAAGCCAGCTGTCAATAGACGCCAGGCAAAAGTTCTTCAACAATATAAACGGAACAAAAGTTTTCTTTGCACACGCACACACACACACACACACACACATACACGCATACACTTGCTGCATGTAATTTAAAATGAAAAATTCTATTCTTTTGACACACACACACCCACACACACACACACACACACTTAGCACAACAAGCATTGATTTCATTTGCATAAATAAGAGAAGAAGCAGAAAAAACGTAAAGAGCAGAGAATTTTCATTAGCTGACGCAAATCCCCGCCAGACATCTGCCAATTACAGTCATACATACATATGTGTGTGTTAATATATAGATAACAGAATCAAGTTTATAGCCTCCAGATGGCGTCCCATATTGACTTTACCTTACACTTTATAATCAAAGATATATATCGAATCAGCTTGCAAGTGAAATCTTTATATATCTAGGAACTGATCTGGCGAGTGTACTAGTGCTATCCATAGTGTATTTCAGCGGTTCTTAATATTATCTATAATAACTAAGCATTTATGTATGCTATAAGCTATATCATTTCCTTATAGTATAAGGTATATGGAAATAGGGAATTCCAGTTGACTCTCGCCGTCGTTCCCTTGGGTAAACATATGTATGTTGTGAT